GCCTTCCCTATGCGCAAGACCTGACTGGGGTCTTCTGGGTTGGCGAAGAAAGTTTTCAGTTCTTCCATCAGGGTTGCATTTGGTTCAGAGTCAATTATCCGAGAATCTAATTCATCAAGAGGGTACCCTTGTTCAGGGGCCTCTTCCATGTCGACGTCTTCCTTTTGTTTAGAGGTATGCCTTTGTTCAGGGACATCGAGCATTTTCACGTCTGTACTGATTTCAGCGGGAACCTCAGTTAGGATTACATTAACAGTTCGGGGCTCCGACTTTCGTTGCGATTTTAAGTAGCATGCCCTGGAGCCTATCTGATCGCCTCGGACCGCAGCAATCCCATGTTCAGTTGGGAATTTCATGCACAAGTAGTAGATAGATGTGATGGCCCAAAGATCTTTCAAAGCGGGTCTACCCAATACTCCATGATAGGCCGATCTGTGATCTACCATAAAAAATTTCATGAAGTGTTGGGCCACTAGGGGTGCCGAACCCATCTCGACGGACAGAGTGATCCGCTCTCGTGGGATGATGCTGTCCCTAGTGAATCCGAATAGTGGGTCGGTCATAGGGATCAACCCATGTTCAATTTGCATTTTGTCAAAGGTGGAGCCGAATAATATGTTCACCGAACTGCCATTGTCGACAAACATGCATTTCAATCCGTTTCTAGGCACTACGGCTCTTACAACCAAAGCATCACAATGGGGGTGGTGAACTCCCTTTGCGTCTTCCTGGGAGAAGGTGATTGGGGCCATCCTATCGGCTGCTTGCGACTCGTTGACAATGTAAGTGATCATTGGCGAGTCATTTGCTTCCCTTGTATAATTCCTTTGGGCATTCCTGGCGTTGTCACCGATGTGGGGTCCCCCAATGATGGTATCGATTTCCTTGATGACCTGGCTCCTAGAAAATGGGGCCTGGTTTCTCTGTCTAGATTGACCTCGGTCCCTTGATTCTCTTCTCCGAGGTGATTGCTCTCTGTGCCCTCTCTCTTCCCTACTCGGGGAGGCGGATCTACGAGGATATTCGTTCCTGCTGGAAGGGTGTGGGTTGCTTCGATCAGTGAGTTGATTGGCGTCTCGGCACTCACTAGTGTCATGCCCATACAGTTGATGGAAAGTGCAAAACCTTGCTCCTTCCAAGGGCCTGTTTGATTGTTTCTTCTTCTTTTTCTTGCTATCGGTTCTTCCAGATGGCCCTGCTTTGCCAGGAGCATTTTCATATGCCAATACCGACACTGCATTTAGTGTGGCAGAACCCAGTGCCTGTCCGGAGGTGGGAACTATTGTGTGACCTGCCTGAGTCCATTGCTGAGTAACAAGGTGTGCTGCGGGTCCTCGACCTACCTGCCTCTAAGGCGGAGGGAGTCCCTACGCGGCACGATTTCGGTGATCAATCATTTCTTCACTCACAATTTTCACTCTCATCATTTCCACCAGTTTGTCATAGGTAGAGGGATTCTTGCTGCGCACGTCCCTCCAGAACAAAGTGTTCATGTTAAGCCCCTTTCAGAGCTGAAAGGGCTTCCCTGTCAGTGACCTGTTCACAGTAGGTGATTTCGTTTGTAAACCTAATGAGATAGCTTTTCAGCGTCTCTCCAGGGGCCTGCATCATATCTTGCAGGCGTTGCACTGATGCCTCTCCTTCTCTGCATTAGAGGTATTGGTTCAAGAATGCTTTCTTCAAATCTGGCCAACTTCTAATGCTTAGGGAAGGAAGCCTGCTGTACCACACTTCGGCGGCTCCGCCTAGTGTTAAATGGAAGGCTCTGCATTTCAAAGCGGGCGAGACTCCCCTTAGGCTCATCTATGTCATGTACTTGGTAAGATGTTTCTCCGGGTCCCCCTTTCCTTCATACTTGGGGATCTTAGGAGGCATGAAATTTGCTGGCATTGGGAAGCTTCGGTTCTCCCTTGAGAAATGGAGGTTATTATCATCATTATCAATCTCACAAGATCGACAGCCCATCTGACCCTTCATCATCTTGAATGTTCTGGGGAGGTGGAGGTGCCCCTCCTCGACTCTCCCAATCAACTAGGTTCCTCCTGTCCCTCCTATTTCTAGGAAGAGGAGGGGCCTATTTTTGTTCCTGATCCGACCGAACTGATCTTCTCACTGGGTGAACCTTATTGCTAGGATCCTCCCCTATCTGGTCGAAGACGCTTACGGATCTCTGTTCTTCATATTTTTTGAGGGAAGTTATCCCCCAAGTGGGGTTCTGATGGCTGGCTCCCTTGCACATAAGATGTGGCCTTGGCGCCCACTTCTCTTTCGAGGGGGCGTTCTCTGTGCTGACTGGTGTGGCATTGGGAACGAGATACTGGGGCTTCCTGCATTGGGTAAGATCCTTGGGGCATTTGAGAGCCCGGGTGACGTTGGGCTTGCATGAGGAGTTCATGTATTGCCATATTCTGAGCTGCAATGTCTCTCATACCCGCAGCTATTTGAGTCATTTCTTCAGTGAGCATGGCCGTTCTTCCACCTCGACGACGCCGGTGAGGGGGTCTCTGATGAGTAACATTGTTATGGAGCACCTCTTCTTCAGAGGCCTCTCTCTTGGGGTTGTCGTCTTCATGGCTATAGCTCATCCTATCTTCTTTTTCAAGGGTGGTGAGAACTTGGATTGTAACTCGACTTTGTTCTTTTTCAAGAACGTGCCCTTTTCAGGGTTAGTTGCTAGTTTTTCGGTACCTTTTCCGGTGGAGAATGCAGAACTTTGAATGGGAAGTGCTTCCCATAGACGGCGCCAATCTGTTGACCTCGAAAATTGGACCTTCCACGTGGCCAACCGATAGCTACTCCATGTATTCCTCCCTGCACACAATCAACGCATGTTTAGATGCACACGGCCGGGACCAGCGGGGGTGGTGGCGGTCGTACACACTCCGACGGTCAAGTCAGGTTCAGATGGTCGGAACAGTACCCAGAGGTTGTGTCAAAAACACTAAGGGGGAGGAGAAAATATATAAACTTGCCATGGAGTGCTATGTATTAAGAGTTTCATTACCTTTGCCTCTTGCCAAACCTTAGGTATTTATAGGTAGGATGAACCGTTGGATGTGGGACACGTGTATACGTCTGACGGTATGAGGCGTCCGCTCATAAGCGTCAATCAGCCGCGTCTGCAGAGTGGGCGGGCAGTTTGTTTCTCTCTAGTTGAGTTGACATAAAGTTGATAAGTCACATCAACTAGCCTCATGGAGACATCAAATCAATTTAAACCTTAGGTAGAGAGAGGATCTTGGCAAAAATCTCTTTCTGAAATTGGCAGCGGATCTGATGACAGAGGTCCACTTCGCCTCGGCCTCAGAGGCGGGGGCGCTTCGGTCAGTTCAGCAGGATCGCCTATGTCTCACAGTGTACTAGCAGGTCGTTGACATTGGTGAGATCACTTTGGAAACACTTCAGATGGGTGTCTATCAGGTCGAAATGTGTGGTGGTGGGCATTCCGAGGCAGTTCAGATAGGGGCGTAACAGAAAGTATCAAACTTCCCTCTTGTCTTGTACGATACGTTTAGGATGCACAATTGTGTCCTTATAAAAATATTTAATTTTAAATTTAAGAGTATGTTTGGAACGGGGGTATTTTTACAAAAGGCCTAGTCAAGGGATGTAAAACTTTTTGAGGCCTAACTTATGATAAAAATGTTTTTGAGGCCTTTCTTAGGTTAAAATATCCAAATTATCCTTGTCATATTATTGAAATATCCCAAATGCCCTTAGTGTATAATGACTATAATACCCATTTTTCAAATAAAAATTATAACCGTTAGTTTCATTTGTTATTCTATGGAATTTCAGATTTCTCCTCCTCCTCTTCTTCTTCTTCTTCTATAATCTTCTACTTCTTCTTCTTTGTTCTTCTTTTTTCTTTCAATCAAGTTTTACTTGAAGTATAAAGAAGCACATCAAAGAAGAAACCCTTACATTTATTCATTTTATGTCGGTAAGATATTATTTTCACTTTTAATGTTTTGTGAATCTTGTTTTTTTTTTAAAACTATTTTTACATATATTCATTGTCATTTGTGTTTATTTAATTCTTTGAATGTATTTTTCGATCTCAAGTAGTTTTGAAAGCAAAATCTCACATACTTTTTAGCTACAAATTCATTATTGACATATTAAACGACTGTAATCGTTTTAAACGACCACATAGTCGTTTAAACGATCGTAGTCGTTTTAAATAATTGAAAATGACTACAGTCGTTTATGATGACCATGAAAAAGACTTCAATAACTTTTATATTACTGTGAATGAGTATTCTAAAATTCTGCTACTCTAATTACAGATATGGACTCAACAATATGGATTTCTATATTTTATTTTGGTGATTTTGTTAATGATGATCGAGGAAATTGGACATGGAAACAAAATGGGAGTGATGAAATGGTGGAAGGAGTTCCAATATCTTCAAATACTTCATATCATGATCTGTATTGTGAAGTGCTAAATCTTTGCAAAGTTGATTCATCTTTGCATGAAGTTGAGATGAGATTTCTCCTCCCTGAAAATGGTCAGTTTACAGTTCCAATTAAATTACTTCAAACAGGCATGTACAATGGTTGCTATCTCTCAACAAAAAAGATCACTGTCCCATTTGAGTAACCCTTGTAAGCAAATGTTCAGTCGAGCATAGACAAGAAGAAGATGATGATTTATTTCATGAAGTGGGAAACAATGAAGTTTATTGTGAAATACAAAATGAAGGCGATAATCTTCATTGTGAAATGCAAGCAAATGATGACAATGAAGTGGATCGGACTGAGATTATTGATTGGGATAAGTTAGAGATAGCCCAAGAAGATAACGTAGATATTATCACTGAAAATAGTAGCACTGTTGTTTTCTCTACAGATGGATCTGAGATACTTCAAAAGAACAGAGAAGAAAATTGTTTTACAAATGAACACCTGGTAGCTTCAATTCTTACATCACAAGTGATTCCCGAAGATGAAGATTTAGAAGATTACCAAATTTTCAACACAAAATAGATCTTATGATGAAAGTTCACATGCTTGCAATGAAGTACAACTTTGAATTTAGAGTGAAGAAATCAAACAAGGAAGTCTATACAATTATTTGCATAGATGAAAAATGCAAATGGCATTTGCGAGCAACTAAATTCAAAAATTGTGATTACTTTCAAGTTCACAAGTATGTACAAGAACATACTTGCTCTATGAGTATTCGCCAAAATGATCATAGACAAGCAAGATTGTGGGTTGTTGGAAGACATGTAATGCCTAAGTTTCAAAATCCCAACACGATATATAGACCTGCAGACATCGTTAATGACATGCGTCGGGAATTCGGTATAGACAGAGTTATCAGAGGGCGCGAAAATCACGAGAATGTGCTTTGGAAATTTTAAGAGGTTCGTAGGAGGATAGTTATGCTAAATTGGGCTTATATTCTCATAACTTGGCTAAAACTAATCTTGGAACAGCATTGTCTTTAGAGATTGATGGTGAGAATTGTTTCAAGTACTTTTTTTATAGCTCTTGGACCTTGCATTCCCGGATTTCACTCTTCAATGCGGAAAGTAGTTGTCGTTGATGGAACATTTTTTATGGGAAAATACAAAGGTACGCTGATTGTTGCTACTTGTTAAGATGTAAATATTCAAATTTATCATCTTTCTTGAGGTATAGTTGATTCTAAAAATGATGCATCATGGACCTGGTTTTTTATGAAATTGAAAGAAGTAACAGGGGATACTGAAGATCTTGTTGTTATATCTGATCGACATCCAAGTATTATCAATGGAGTTCAAGCTATCTATCAAAATGCCCATCATGGTCATTGCATCTATCATATAAAAGGTAACTTAAGGACCGTAACTAGAAAAACATAGATTTTCCTACTTTTTAAGAAAGCAGCAAAGGCATATACTTTAGAAGAGTTCGAAAATTATATGAATGAAATAAAGAGAATTGATATTAAAGCTTGGGAATATTTAGTGAAAGCGCCTTTCCATCTTTGGGCAAGGTCACACTTTCAGGGGAACCGTTACAATATCATGACATAGAATAATGCTGAGTCACTGAATCCAGTGTTTAAGAAAGATCGACAGAATCTGATACTTGCATTGATAGAGAGTATTAGGAAAAGATTGCAGAAATGATTTTATGAGAGGCGTGCGAATGCACAGAGCTGTACAAGTACTTTGACACCAATAATTGAAGAGAAATTGCGTAAGAATGTTGATAATGCCAATCTCCCTCGTCTCAGCCTCGCTCTCAATGCCCCCTGCCACTGTCTCCATCATAGCTCTCCGTGCCTCAAACTCTCCTACAGTGTCCCATTCCCTATTCTCTTCCATAATGTCCCCTCCATCTATCTCCCTCTCAACTTCCTCATGGTTATTTCCCTCGGTCTCAAATACTCCATCAACTCCAAAGGAATGTTCTCTGTTGAGATGTTGACTCAGTCTCATCCAATTCATTATAGTATCGACCTTCCTATTTATCTATTCATATTTATCGGACAACCTCTCCACATGGTGCAACAATTGTTTCAACATATCGCCGTAATCCCTAGAAGCTCGACGGTTGCATGAAGGTCTTCGACTTGTAGGAACAGTATGCTGATGTACATGAGCAGACCCCGAACTTTACACCTAATGGAATAAGAGAACATATAGTTAGCACCAATTCATCTACAGAAGATTATAATTTAACATTAAAAGTATACAAACATCATCTTCACGTATATTAGGAGAGACTCTCTCCCTTTGGCTTTGTGGTGGATCTAGATCATCGTCTAATACTGCATCATCAACATCTAGGTATCCTCCATCCTCGTAGAGATAAACATCCAAGATTGGATCTTCTTTTCTAGTTCCTTGAATGAAAAAATTCGTATATTGTTGTTCAGTCTCATCAGGAGAAGCTTTCAATGAACAACGGGCCTGTAGCTGAATAATTGACAAACGAAGTCCTTTTAACAACATTTGAGGTAACATGCAAAAGTAATTACAATATAGAATATATACTCACTTGTGGATCATCCAAGACTTCAGCAATATCATGAGAATTAGGAGTAAGTGTTGATTTCCAACGACACATTCTCGACAACCCGTTGACAGGTAACCTAGCATAATACATGTTTGCTATTCGAGGAATAGACTCAAACGCCCACACCTAAAAGAAGATGTATAAGTTGTTCACAAATATTTAAAATCAAATAAAAATAATGTCTAAATCACAAGTTTTGATGATTTACATGTATCACTAGTGGAAATCCCCACAAAGAATATTTGGCCTTTGGATTTTTCGACACTCTCGGAAATGCATGTATTGTAAACTTGAAGCTTTTAGTTCGTCATGGATATTCATTGAATAAATCGAAATCATCAACTATATCTAAGGTACGAAGATCTATAGACGTATTTTTTCTTTGGACCTCAGCATTGTTTCATATATAACACTAAACCTAATTTGTATTTGTCATCCATGTCTTCTATCTCTTTTTCAAATGCCTCATCTAATTCTTTAGGCGTAACCTTGCTAGATGTTGGAAAGTATTTATTTTTCAATCTACCATCTTCATTTATTTGGTTCTCATACTCCTTTTCATTAGCAGGGCTTAATCCTGTGATAAGCATAAACTCGTATAGACAGAAACGGACAGCTTTTTCCAAGCCTAAACAAAACCACAATTCATCCTCATTGACAGATACAACCCATCGTAATAATAGGTTGTGAATTAGTTGAACAGATATTTTCATGTTCCTGACGTCATACAGCTTACTGAAGCACGTCTTCAAAAACATCTCCTTATGGACATTATCTAATGCTTCATATACTTTCTCTACATTTGACACATTCGAACGTGTTGTAACCTTTGCATCACATCGATCATCGATGTTGTATATGTACTCCATCCTGCAAATTGTTTCAAATTTAAGAAAATGATGGAGTATATATACTACATCAATGATGCAAAACTGATCTCCACATAGTCAATAAGTCCTAAATTAAATTTTATTTTTGTTAGTTAATAAGCCCAAACTTCTGATTCATGACCAAGTACAAATCTATTCAAACGGATAAGAAGGAAAATTATACATACCAAGTCGAAGGACATTTTTCTCATATGAATGTGGCAAACAAGTAGATACGATCTTTTTTTATGCACATCTAAAACAAAAATGTGTTATGGCATGATGATAATTGGGCATTTGAAGAACACAATATATGCAGGCTAAAGCTTCTTCGAAAAAAATATCTAAACAAATTCCTAAATGAACAACAAATCCAAATTTTAATCGAATTAAGTGCAACTTTATCATCCACTCAAGAATCAGCTGCACAGATAAAACCATAACAAGACCATATTGATAAAAAAAAATTATGAATAATACTTGAAGTTATTTTACTTTTTCAGAAAACTGAATCAGATTGAATTACTTTGAAGGTAGTGGTGGTTGTCATCCATCTAATCAAAGTTACGGGCAGATCTAGAAATTTATTTTAGTAAAAGTATAATTAACCAACTAATGTAATTGACCCATGCATGTCTCAATATCAATTTATCTTAACCCTATCATCGAACTTCTAGATTTCCTTTGAAAGTTAGATAAGGCTGCAAGGTGTCCACTGTAGTATTTTAATTTCACCAGGCTGATTTAGATACAGAACAATGCTTTACAAATTTAAATTGGAAGTCAAAGGCACTATTTCAAATGCTTGACATGTATATAAATATAATAATACGTGTTTTCAAGAATTCAAAAAATAAAGATGTTGATAGCTTACACAAACGAATTGCAAGGTCTAGCCTTGGAACTTGTGGTGGAGTTTTTGCATTTAATTCAAAGAAATGCAAGGTCTAGTGTTGGAACTTGTGGTGGAGTTTTCGCTTTTAATTTTATATGTTTTATTATATTTCTCATTTAAAAAGCAGAACATACATGCAACTGGGGCGTGATGGAGCATAACAGGAACACAAACCAGCCATCAAGTATTCAAGGTAAGATCTATAGAAGCTAACACTCACTACCCCTTTCTCTATGAAAGGACTAGCTTGGTCATAAGACAAAAATTTCTCAAGAGCAAATACGAATGATAACGAATGACATAATATCAAATATGCATTTCCAAGCACCAAAAGCAAGACCACTAAATAAGTTTGAAACAGTATCTGGATAATTCATTAGCTACCTGAACTAATTGGAAAACTGGCAAAAGTACTTCATTTTGTTGCCATATTGTTCAAACACAATGGGCATGCTCACTCATTGATACTGGAGAACCGAAACAATGGGAAAATTGCATGCTGCCTTAATTCTTGTGTGTTCACTTAAGGTTAAAGAAGGTGCCACAATTGGGTCAACAAGGCAAATTACTCCGCATTACCCAGTAATCAAGATTTTTGAGAAAATGACTTCGAGTATACACTCAAACGTTAACTAATATCCAGAAAATCAATTTCCCAATTCAAAGTTTAAATTCCATTAGAAATCTATAAAAATACATATACATACATGCAAAAGAAACTTCTTACAGTGGAAACAAAACGTAATTTTCGATTCGTGAGTACATAAAAATAACATCAAACACATCGATCCAGTAATACAATAACACAAACATATATAGAGCGGGGAGAGATGGAGAGATTTTACCTAATAGTGGGCGACGAAGGTGACAAGATGAAACCCTAGAAATGTCTAAATTAGAGAGGTGCAGAAATTTCTCCTTCAATTTTGAAGGTTTGAAGGTTCTTGGGGGTCGCACAGTTGTTTTCTCCGACTGTTGCGGCATTCTCTTCACTGTTGAGAAAGAAAAAAGAGAGAGAGTCGTCTCTTAGGAGAAAGAAAAAAGAGGAGCCGTTTTATTCTCTTCTTAGGGCATAACGGTAAGAGGGGAAAATAGAAATTACTAATTTTTGTTATTTTTTTTTAAAAATGAAAAAACTGGTCAAGGGACAAAAAAAACTGTCAACCAGGTCAAAGGGTTAATTGCCACTGTTTCCACTTTGGAAAGTGTTTATAAATGCTTTTGTCAAATTTACACATCTCATAAAAACAAATTCACACCACTTATTTTTATCTACTTAAAAAACATTACAGTGAGACAATACATTTGCTTCTAGCAATGTGGAACACAATATGATCTCGAGAAACACAGTCCATTATTTTATATACTTGTGGTAATCTGATTTTTAATTGAAAGAAACTATCAAATAATTTGAAAACTTCTTATATAGGCCTATTCGGTATTGATTATGAGAATTAATCTTTTGACCATTAGAGAGAAAAGTAGGTCCCACCTATGAGTAAATAAGTCAAAAACGACGTTTGAAATAGTGAAATAACGATCAAAATTTTGATTTTTTGGGGTGAAAATTTGCTATCAAACGGGGGCATAAAGATGTATTATTGTAACTTGATAGGCGTGATAAAACTAGATTAATAATGCCCTAACATTTTGATGTCATGAATTTCTCAGAGGGATGTCCGTTAATCGCTATTCTTTTATTTTTAGCTAAAACAATTTTAAAAGAACATCAATTGTTCAAATATGGTACTTAACATGCTAAAAATCAGATGTCATAAGTTGGTCAAGCAATTAATTAACGTGTGAGATATGGCAATTACTAGTAAATAATCGAGTTAGAGCTGTAGTTATGAGATCTACAGATAATCTGATGAGAGAAATGAGAGTGATTGACATGAGCTCCTCATAAGTATTCCAATCGATGGAGCATCTCTAGGACGATGCTTTAGGAATTTCTTTTTAAAGTGCAATTTGTAATTGCTAGCCCAATGTGGTGAACCTTGCCCGCTGGCTTGGTTTCTTCCCTTTTCAGTTTGAAACTAATTTAAAAGAAATCAATTGTTCACACAAAGTACTTATTAATGCAGTTCCTATAGAAACAATTTTCAACTCACCATTATATTGCTTGTTATAGTATTGTGCCCTTGCGACTTCATAAAGGAGATGCCAGCATTTGAAATTGGAAATGCTCAGGCTTTCAAGAAATGGACTTGTACTTTCAATACTGGTGAATGACAACACACGATCT